TATATATATATATATATATATATATATATATATATATATATATATATATATATATATGTATATATATATTATGTATGCGCAGGGAGATGACACAGAGAGCATTGAACAATGTTAGATCTTTTGATAGTGTTCATTTGCACTGAAGCAAATCACCAACAGAAAAAACCAAAAAAAAAAAACAAAAAAAAAAACAAAAAAAGAAAAAATAAAAAGAAAGTATAGGGGTGTACCGGCTGTGCCATGATGAGTCTGAGGTTGCTTGGATTAGCCTGTATTTGTGAGACGATAGAAACGAGTCTTTGTATATATTCTGGGTCTTCTTTACTATATTTTTGTAGTTTTGGGTGGCTTCGTACTGCGTTTGTTACAGCCATCATCGCCTGTATATCTCGCATTGATGCTTCACTCTGCTGCACCTCTGCTAGCGCTGCTTTCAGAGATGTATTCTCAGCATCTATACATAAACCCTTTTTGTATGATGCCTCAGCCTCACGCAAACGACCCAGGTTAAACTCCGCTAAACCTTTTCGAGAATAACCCTGAAATAACATATTTATATATATATATATATATGTATATATATATACATATATATATATATATATATATATATATATATATATATATATATATATATATATATATATATATGTATATACATATGTTTTTATTAAAATATATTTGGTGTTACACAACAGAACTATAACCAGATGTATAAGGAGATGTAAAGCAGAATATAAACAACAGCAAATGATACGAAGACAGACAGAAGAAGGCGTGCGAGTGTGGATGCATACAGACGTAGCCCGCATGTGTATCTATAAGCTATAGAGGGAAAAAAAGCGAGAAAAATATTAAATATATTTATTAATTTATTTATTTTTTTTGTGGTTTCTTTACCTTGGCCCAGTCAGGCTTCAACTTGACGCAGGTTTCTGCATCCTTTAGAGCTTTCTCATACTCTTTCAGGCTCGCGTATGCACCTGATCTGTTTGAGTATAAAACAGCATCTTCTGGGGTGTATTCTATTGCTTTTGTGAAATGTATTACTGCTTTCTGAAATTCACCTTTTTGAAAAGCTGCATTTCCTTTCGCTTTCTCCTCCTGCGCTTGCTCTGCACCGGTAGCCATCGTCCGTGTATATGCAGTAATATTCGTAGAAAAAGAAAAATTTTGTTGAAATCAATAAAATATTAATAAATTAATCAAATTCAACGGAAGAAAACAAAAGAATTGAGCCCAGAAGCCCCACTACGGCTACGCCCGCGGCAACCGACTACTACTTCGTTCGTGCAAATGTCAGCTGTACATACACCCCAATTCTTCACCCTTCCGAAACCGGAAAAACAAGAAAATCAAAACAATAAACACTTACAAATGCACGTAACACACACTATACATCATTTCGCATCGCCAGCCCCACCGCTTGTACACCATACAAACCCCCCTCGGTGGGGCCCGCTGGCGCTGCATGCATTCAGAGAAGTATATAGAAGAATACCGCGATCCAAATTAGATTACTTGATCTTTTTTGTATTTTTTTTGTTAATATGCACAATATTTAATGATTTATACTCCTAACAACTCACCGCAACCAGCCAGCCAGCTCACCCGGTGGTTGAGTAGTACCAGTGCAACATACCGTGTATATACTGTTGATACGATCGCCGATGCTTGCGCGCAGTTTGTTTACTCAGGGCCAAGCAAAAGTTTAACATTTATATACAGAGTTCATGCATACGAAGAAATGTTGTTTGAGTTCGCCTGCATCTGCGGTTGCGTTGCAGCAGGCTAAGCAGGGAGGGATAGACCGCCGCCACTGCTTCCTATTAACCCCTTTCTCTTCGTCGTTTTTATTTATATTTTAAATATTTTATTTTTATTGCAACTCATAACCATCCTTAATTAATATAGAGGCCCCTCAATACACCTGCTAGCACCGCACGCCACTGGGCAGAGGTGTGCATACACCGCAGATCAGTGGTGAGGGGGAGAACAAAATCTTCTTCATATATTATATATAAACTACTTACATATATATATATATATTTATATATATTTATGTGAACTTTGCCACATTTCTCTTCATATAGAATGGCGAGATTGGTGACGAGATCGTCGCAATAGAAAAATTATAATATATATACAGGCTGCACACTTTAAAACATTTTCATAATGAAGACAAATCATTAAAAAATTATGTATATATATATATATATATATATATATATATATATAT